TTTCTGGTGAAATCCGACTGGCCAAGTCACTTGATCGTGAAATCCTCGACAAACACGTGCTAAAAGTGACAGCGTACGAACGACTTGATCCTACCGTATCATCTAGTGTTACCGTAACCGTGGATGTGCTGGACGTGCAGGACAATAGCCCTATTTTTGAAAGGGATTCCTATTTTGCCGACATTCGTGAGGATGCGCCGGTGAGTCCTTTTAATGATTTATTCGTTGACATTTGTCAGTACACTCGCGCTCATTTTTTTGTGTAACAGTTTCCTTCTAGAACTTTCACATTCATGAGGAATTCATTCATTCATTTTCATTTCTCTGATAGCTTGAAATCCTCTCAGGCGACAGTAACCCGCTGACATTTTGCCCTTCGGATCTTTATTTGAATCAATATCTTCTTTTGTTAATTGTTTTCTGGTCTTCCAGCCCTGCTGTTTGAGTAAGCTGTGGGTAGGTACTTTCTACCCACAGCCTACCCAACCAGAGCTTCCTTGTTGCACTCTTCCTGCTTGAAAACGGCTGGTTGGACTGTCTGCTGGCTCTTGCAGGAGCAGGTTTGGGAGCCTTCCGTCGTTTCTCAGCCTACCCACAGAGTAACCAAGATAAAGTGGAAGTAACCCTTCGTTCCGGAGCAAAGGTCCACTCTCCCATTGTTTATACTGCTGAGCAGGATCTCCCAGGAAAATTCGCCCAGGAACTGGTACCAGGGATGCCTATAAGTCCGGAGAACAGCCCTATGCGCCCTTTCCATCGAGTTTCTATGATCTGTTGTTTCCCATGGTTATTATACCGCTGGCGGTGAGGCAAGCAGGCCGTGGGAGGTATACTTCCACTCAAAGTTATTACTTCAGGCTATTTATTGTTTACTCGACTTCAGCTGGAAAACCCATTGAAAAACAATCTATTACCGGGACGGCCGTTGGCAGTGATTATTGAGTCTGAGTGGCGACAATTGCTGGGGACCCACCCATTCATGTCGGCTTTTTGTGACTTCCTATTAGGGTAATCCAGCGAAAACCTCGATCTTCTGAGGGTGAGGCTTCAATTTCCTTCTGACTTTGGTATTTTCGTCTCAGCACGGCTCAAGCGGAGTTTTCTAAGCCTCCGACCTGTTTCAGTTGCATGCGAATCGCGCATTGAATTGGCTTAACTTGACGCCATTCACACACCCGTCGCCCCGTCAGTCCCCACCTTCACGTCTGGTCGTCGATGACCTCCCGTCGGCGCTCGCTGCCTCTCTTAAATGAGTATAATTGTGGTAACATTCTCTCGTATAGGAAGTCCGATATGACTGCAATTTTCTGGCCTATTTAGCCATTACGCATTGACGCCGGGTATCGACGGATGGACGGATGAGATGTACTAAAATGCGCTAATCCGCTTCAGCAAGCCACCGATGAAAACGATTCATTCTGACCCGAGAACGTCCTTCCATTCATCCCTTTCTGTCCCGGTCACGGATCATCCCCAGTCAATCGGTGGATGACAGTGTCGGTAGAAAAACCCTGAAGATGCCCTTGTCGGGCTAGCGAATTGGAACGCCCTGGCCTCAGTGGACGCGCCAGCGGTAACTAAGCCCATGAGGGTTTTTGTGAACTCTGCTGACAGCGTCGTTTATTTCTCGTCGTTACCCAGCAGTGCATCATATATTACGGCGACTAACGCATTTATGGCATATTTGCATGCGCTGAAATGGTGCTGGCTGACATACGCGCTCAACACTCTGCCCGCCTTCCGAGGAGGTCCCAAGAGGAAACGAAATTGTGCCGACAAAAACGTCAGTGAGCGCACTCTAGGCGGAGAGAAAAATTTGGAGCGAAGTAGTCCGAAGAGCCTTTGAGTGTCTTCTCCATTTTAAGGACGAGAGCAGCTCGGCTTTAACGGCTCGAATTCCATGCAAGTGGAAAGCAGCCCTTGATAAAGAATTGCAGCCATTAGCGCTTGAAGAAGTGGTTTTCGATCACTAACGAATTGAAATTGAATTCTTACGGTACTTTTTGGCGGGGGAGGGGTGGGGAAGGATGAAATGGGAACGAAGGCAATTATAGGAAAACTGAAGGCTAAATTTTAGTACATGTTCTGTTTCCTTTTATGAGCTTCACCTGCTCTAATTTGAAGCTTCAAATCTCGTCATTCGTTGGAGTCCTCATCAAGAAGCACGGAAGATTTGTAAACTAGTAAACAAACAAACAAACAAGTTAACAAATGAGTGAATAAATAACTACATACATGAATAAATATATAAACAATTAATTAAATAAATATAATTATTGTACGCGAAGCGCAGGGGCGAAAGCTGTTAGTCGCTTCGTCTGCAGTTCAAATTTTTCCTCACCTCCTCTGATTTTCTTCCCTGCCACCTAATAAACGGTTATTTTCTACAGAGCGCAGGGCCTTCATGAAAGTTGAATTCGCTTTGTTTTGATTGCTGATACTTACAACCTTTGAGACGTTTAGACTATACACTCATGTTCATGGCTTTAGTCGAAAAGCCATGTTACAAGTGCCAAAACCCAACATTGCTTTCTTGAGTTCATAAGAACGTTATTATTAACTGTTTTTGATTACTTAATATTTATCCGTTGTTACGTTTATATTATCAACTTAACATGAAGAAGCAATCTCATCACTCCAAATCGTCTGACGGGGCATACTGCATCAGTACCCTTCCGATGCGCCATGCATTTGGCCTCTGTTCACAATTTTTAGATATATTTGAGCAAATGTTTGAAAAGATAGGCATAACGGATAACCGGACGCAAACCGTGTATAGCTTTTTATTGACTGAAAAGCTAGAAAGGGTAAACGCTATTGAGGTGGGAAAAGTTTTTGCGGAGACGCCAAGGGCAAAGCGAGGTCCGTTTTTGAATGCATTAGCTCAGCCTGAAAATGTCAATATCGCAAGCCTCGTCTGCTCCTGGAAGTGAAGCATGCCCGAAAGAAGGGCGAAGCGTGTGCTGACGAGTGGCGCGTAAGGATTAGTTCCACCCTCTCATAAGGTCAGCAAAGTGGCAAGGAAACATGTGGTATATTCCCTCCACCCGTCCCCTAACTTATGACCACGATCGACAGGAATTCTCAACTCTCACTCAGAGGGCTGAAGGGAATTACATAAAATGTGTCGATAATGTTCTATCGTTGAGTCCCATGCCTTTAAGTTCTGCCCATTTTAGGCCATTTTCGCCCCACACTAATTCCAGTGAATTCACGAATAGGAGTGAAGATTCATTTGTTTATTTGTTTAATCGTTATTTTATTTGTTTATTTATTTATTTATTTACTTACGCTATCATATTAATAGACTATAGGACTGGTCAAAATCATACCTCGCGACTTGCCGACGCATAATCCTTTCATTTCTAACCTTAGAAATGTTCTTAAGTTTTTACTTCAATTAGCACGAAAGAACCTTCTAGAAGAACCAATTCACTGTCAGACCGTTTTTCTTTCCACGGGTAGTGATCGCGACTAAGGGATCTTGAATCGCATTGGGGATAATTTGTTTGTAAGGGATAGCCCTTCCGGTAGCATTTTACGCTGGCTTCTTAAGCTCTTCTAATCTGCACCAGCAGGCAGACAGGAGTCCCTGACAGTCTATTTGCTGATCGATAATGTCGTTAGGCCAGGTGAGGGTAATTACAAGCTCCAAGCATTCATCGTCAAGCACATGTGCATTATGCATCAATGGACACAATCTCGGTGACGGGGAATCCGTGGGAAATGGCGGAAAACTCGTCCAGTCATTCATGAGTTCAACCCGAGTACCGATTGGTTTCAGCACTGATGGCTTCCGTGGTGGTGGTGAAGGCCGGCTAGGCCGACTCCACTATTGGGTCCATTATCGTTATTACTGACCATCCATCACTCTTTGCGAACGCACATACGCTCGCCTGCCTGCTCTACATGGATGTAGCATCGATAATTAGCTCTCGTAGGGAATCTATTATGCACCGGGATGGGAGGTTCGAGGTGTACGAGATCCTACGGATGATTCAATAAGGATGAATCATGTCCAGCCAAGAAGTTATCACTGATAACATTGCGAAAGCCCCAGGTTAATCACCTACAGTATTGCGAAAGTTTCAGATGCCTGCAAGCTGCTGCTCACTTCTTATTATTGAAGGGAGGTGAGGATAGTGCAGTACCTAGCGGCGTATCCCGCCGGAGCAGTTTGTAAGATGGGGTCTCGACATGGACGATTGGCCTTCTGTAAGCCAGAGCTGTTTGATCTGGCCTCCACGGTAAGGGCTCTTGGAGTCAAGAAGTGAGGCCAGGAAATTGAAGGAAACCTCTTGGAAAATTATGATTCCTATCTCACCCATAAATCACTGGCTTGAGACCCATCGTCCACGATAAGAACGAAAAGAACAAAAAATTGCATTTGTTTTGGAAACAATTCGAAAAACGGAAGGACTGCTACGCGTTCAAATTCCCGCCGGACATCTGTCACAAATGCTGGCGACGGAATGCTTCCACCTGGTTCTCGAAAAGAATTATCCGGAAAGG